CCTAACAGAGCCTGGATATGCCATTGGTGCTTAATAAATGTGCTAAAATAGTGGGTAAGAGAAGAACCTAGCGGAAGTCATAGGAAGTTGGTGACGGGGTGAAGAAGGAAAGGGTCAAGAGCTAGAATCGAATGAGAAAAGGAAAAGTGTGTTCCTTATAAAAGGGCCCAACAATCTCTGATAAGTGAGAGTGGAGAGAATTGAAGATACAGCTGCAGAGGGGGAAATAGCAACCAATCAAAACTGAGAGGTTCTGATTTAAAATAGTGAGTATGACCCACGAGGCGAATTCAGATGCTGGCTATCCCAGGAGTCCCCTGCAGTTGGTGACCACCAACTGTTGAGAACCTTCATGAACTCCTATCAAGGTGGATTTATTGCACAAGTAAAATAAATGTACAAGTCACCTTCTTAAGCACAGAACAGTAAGTAATGAGTGAAACACAGATCTTGTCCTCAGCAGCAAGATTACATTTCCTATTAGTGAAAAGGCCAGGACGGGGACTCAGATACAACAATGCCAGTAGAATGTGATCAATGTCTCCAGAGGGACAACAGTACAATACTCTGAGGAATCAGGGGATGGGAAAACGGATCATATCAAGTCATGAGGTACAGTAAAGATTCTGAGGGAAGCCATGAGGCATGATAGGATAGCACCAGGCAGAGGTGGGAGTGAGAAGAGAGTTATTTCAAAGTCATATGACAAAGACTTGATAGGAGATGCAAAAGTATATGGAATAGTGAGCGATCCAGGTGGGGTCCAGTTAAAGGGGTTGTGTATGGACTGGGAAGGGTTGGAGGTACATGGCTCCAAAGCCTTGAAGTCACACTGTGAAGCTTGTGAAGACGTTGTGTGTGTGTGTAGAAGATAACAGCATCAGAGATGACTAACAGGCACAGTGATTCAGGGCGAAAGAATCACTTCTTTCTGGGGAAGGTAGTCGCTGGTGGGGAGGAGGTAGCTCGGTTCCAGAAAGCCCAAGTGACCAATCTGGTATTGCCCATCAGACTGTAAGAAAATCCGGACAGACTGGCTGAGTCGTCTTCTCGGACCACAGAGACAGACACCCAGAATGAGGAAAAGAGCCAAAGAGAGTGCAGCTAGGAGAAAAGGTTACAGGAAACAGTCGCGGAAGGCTGCTTCAACACAGAAATTACAGCCATGGTGGAGAACGCCAGCCTCGGATTCCGGATTGCGTGCATTTGAACCCCAGCGACCTGGGTATTTAGAAAAAGGAACTTAAGAGTTTTTGAGTCTTTTTATTTGTGCAATGCGAACGATTTTTATCCTAACGGGCATTCGCTGAGAAATTTCTTAGCACGGCTCACACAGTATGAGCCGTGGAGTGTATAAGAGCCAGCAGAAGGAACGAGAGAGGCCGGGGATTTTCCTCTGAGGAATGTCCAAAAATGGAGGCAGGGAGTCTCAGTTTGCTCTAAGCTTTTGCTTTACTCGAGTCTAACGAACGCCCTGCGAAGGTAGACCCCACCCCAGCACAGCCCTTTTGCCCACGTCCTCATTTCCCGGCGCCTCCCAGCATCCCCCGACCCAGGCTTTCCGCTCGGCTTCTATTACCGCCACTCTAGGGAACCAACGCGCATGCGCCCTCCCGCGCCCCTCCCCAACTTTCCACGTTTCACTTCCCTCACTTTTCCTCCTCAGCTGCAGCTCCGCCGCCACGATTGGCCAGCCGACCTCTTCGTCTCGGCCAATAAGCGCCGCCCTGTCGCCCCCGTGTTACTGGGTAGAACAAAACAAAAACAAACAGAGCGAGAGGGGCCAGAGACGCTCCGAGGCAGCGGTAGAGGCTGAGGAGTGAGGTCGGGAAAGGCGGACCGGGCACTTTGGCGAGCGGCGGCGGTTGCGGCCCGAGGGGTCAGTACCGGTGGGCACGGCTCGCCCGCTTGGAAAAACTGCGTTCTTTCTTCGAGTCCCTGACTCTTCCCGGAGGCCGTCGCACGTTGGGAGGGGGAGGGGGCGTGGAGGCCGCGGAGCGGTCAAGTCGGGGCCGGCGGGGCGGGGGGTCCGCGCCTCTTCGAAGCCGGCAGGTCGGGTGGCGTCGGCCCCAACGCCCAGGACTGCGGGGAGCCGGCCCAGGTCCCTTTCTCGTGGGCCCGCCCGGGGTGCGGCAGCGCGGGCCCGCCCCTCCTCCCGGAGCCCCCTCCTCCCGGACCCCTCGCCACCTAGCGAGCGCGGGCGGGCGGGCGTGGGGTCCTCTTCAGGTAGTCGCCCTGTTTTCGTAGAGTTGTAATTGGGGGTGGGGGAGGCGGGTGGGCGGCATGTCTTGGAGTGAGGCCGAAATCGTCTGGGGAATGTCTGCGTCCTCCCCGCCCTCCTCGAGTCCCCGGAGCCCTGTGAAGAGGCCTCGGCCAGGGCAGCCGCGCTGGGGTTCGGGGGTGTCGGGGATCCGGACCGCGGGAAAGCAGGCCCTGGCGCCGCGGGCAGCACCGCGTTACACGTGTCTGCGCCACCTTGGCGGTAGCCCTGCTCCGAGCCAGCCTGCCGAAGATCTCCTTTTTAAAGTCAGATGTCATCTAGAGAAAACAAAGGCAGGCGGGAGCCCTCTTTCCGTCGGTCGGGTACGCGGAGTTTTTGCAAGGGCTTCAAAACTCTGCAGACGTCGCTGTCGCCCATGTCCTCCCGTGCCTTGGCGAGAACTGGCCCTGTGGCCAGCATCTGTAGTGTCACTCCACTGCGGTGAAAAATGCAGCTGGAGTGAGGAGGTGTCTAGGGGCGATTCTTTCTAACTTGCTTTTTTACTGTGAAGTTTTAGGATTTCAGCATTCTTGTTAATATCAGACTTTGGGAAACCACCATACCCTTAAAAAAGATAGCATATATGTTCTCAATATAATTAGTATTTATGCCCTTAACCTTCCTGCATTATAGAATATAGAAGTTCTTAATAATTTAGTATGGCTCTTTGAATTGTAATTTGATTTTTTTTTCATAACTGGAAGGGAAAAATAATTGTTAGGACTGGAAAATAAGTGCTACTTGGCTATTGCCTGTATTGTGCTTGCCTTATAGTAGTAAAGTTGCTGATGAGTGTGATTGTAGCCTAGGAATGAATACAAGTAATTTTCTAGTTAACATATGGTCTAAACTTGAATTCCAAAAGTGTTAGTAATTTGTGAGGTATTTAGGTAATAAACTGGAGAAAACAGTTTTTAATTTCAGCCTTACATTTTCTAACGTGTGTATATACTTTTGTTTTCTCACTGGAAATTAATTCTTACAGGTTAGTATGAAGGAGATTGGGTTTAGATTTTTTATTTTACATTTTTTTAAAGTTTATGGTAAGAAAGATTGTTAGTTAAATTGGGAAAGAGCCTGCTTTGAAAAGTGAAAATGTGGAACATATCTTTATCCTCTAAAAAGGCTGTATTGCCATCAAGAGTGACTGAGTTCTTGATTTCTTAGTGAGGTTATCATTGTTTAAAGACACAGGACTTTTTTTGTTATGATTACTTAATTAAAAGCAAATTTTAATTAGTATATTATCAGTGATAGTCATTACCTGATATTTTCTTTGACCAATTAAACATCTTTAATAGCTTAAAATAATTATTTTTAGTGTTTGGAAAGTAGTACTTAAAAATTTGATGTAGTAATAGAAGTCTGTGTTCCAATAAGCTTTCTGTCTGTTAACTCTAAAAAAGAATTTTCCTGTAGGATTTATAAAACCTTGTATTGATTGGATTTACAAGGTCTGGATTCTAGTCCCAGTTTTTACGCTGTGCAGCTGTTTCTCCTTGGACAGATCACCTACTCTGAGTCTGTGTGCAAAATGAAATAACTACCTTAGGATTGTCCTGCAAGGTACATGAAAATGCATGTGAAATTAATTTTGATGCTTCATAAGCATCACAGTCATTTCCTTTTTTTCACTAGGTAGGTTCTGCAGAAAATACTATTTAAGATCAAGAATGAAAAAGACTTTTTAATGTAACTATAGTTTAAACTCACATGACACATTATCTCTTTCCTACAACGTATCTAACTTGTGCCCTGAAACAGTCCTGCGGAATCTTCAGCCATGGAGAATACTGAATGTTAGGGTTTGCATACTATTTTTTTGTTTATATGCATGGGTCCATATATACATTTTTTTAAGATTCATTTTTCCCTAAATTCAGAGATGTTTGGAATTATGATACTGAGAAGTGATTGTGTAGAATTACATGAAGAGAATTAACGAATTATCTTTATCATTTTCTAAGTTTCTGAAGGAATATGATAGAATTTTGTAGTCTAAGTAAAAGGTTTTTGTGTCAGATTAATAACCTGTTTGTTAAGAAAAGGGCCGTAAACTTATAAGATGTTAGTAAATAATACATATTGAAGAATTTAAAAGTCAGTTTCATCTTTGAGTCCCAGGAGACATCATGTATTATTTTATTCTTAAATAACATTGAGCAGAAGGATATGTTATATAAAAATGTTTTTCTATAATTTATTGGGCATTTTCATTAATTTGTATATTTTATATCTTAAAAGACTAGCACACTGCTAGTGAAATGATTATAAATGGGAAGATTTTTATCAACCTCTGTGACTTAAACAGATAAAAATACTTTAAACCATTATTTAAAAAATATTTCTAGAGAGATTCCAAAGTCTTACTTGGTTATACTTTCTAGTAATATATTTTAAAATATACTTCCATGAAAACTATTTTGATAGTCTTTCAAATAACATTGGGTCTGTATCACTCAGTTCTCTAAGAAGTAACTAATCTCATAAAAAACCTCTCAGCATTAATAATTTTTAAGCAGTTTTGAAACTAAGGTCTATAATACTGAGATGTTATGTCATTGTATTTATTTTATTTTATATATTTAGTTTTTTTGCTGTGCTGGGGATTAAACCCAAGGCCTTGTGCCCTCTAGGCAAGTGCTCTACCACTGAGCTCCATCCCCAGCCATTGGTTTGGGTTTTTCTTTCCTTTTTTTTCTTTTTTTTTTTTTTTGAGGCAGAGCCTTACTGTGTGGCTCAGACTTGGCCTTGAACTTACTGTGTAGCCCAGGGCAACTATGAACTTGTGATTTTTCCTACCTCTACTTCCAGAGCGCTGTGATTATAGAAATGTAACACATGCCTGGCTCTTACTCCTTTCTAAAATAGGTAAACATTTTTGTTAAAGAATGTATTTTCAGAGTATAAAAATATTAAAGCTCATTATAGAAAAAGCTGATTTAAAAATGTCTCCCAATCTAAAAGTCTTATAGCAGTAATGATGTAGAAATCTAGGTAACAAAATGGCCAACATATCTGCTCTCAGATGGGCTGTGGTGGGAAAAAAATGACACATCATGTCATATTTTTAATTTACCAAAACTATGTTATGTTTGAGAGTACCTTTTATAAGTCATTGGTGGAGGACTATCCAATATTTGTGTCCTTATATATGTATATCAGATTAATTTTGAGACTTAGTATTTTTAAAAGACTGGAAAGTGTGTATGTGTACATGTATATATTTTTTGAAATATATATCAAATATGTCTTGATTCCAAGTTTAAGACGTGTTGGCACATGCTGAGATCTGTTTTTTTTCTCTTTTTTTGTCTCAGATAAACTTGTGAAGAAAATTGGAAGCAAATGTTAATTAGGTTGTTTTCAAAATTAAACTCTTGGAAAAATGGCATGTGGGTTTTTTTTTTTTTTTTACAGCATGCTTAAATAAATTGAATTTACCTTAATTGCGTCAGTTTAGAAGATGAATTTTTTTCTTTATTCAAAAAAATAGATTCCAAAGGAAGACTTCGAATTGGTAATTTGTAATCAGTGCAGCTGAAATTAAGGAACAATGGATGTGGAAAATGAGCAGATACTGAACGTAAACCCCACAGGTAAGTAAGTAGTATCATGAACCCTGACTGCTTTGTGATCAAGCTTCAGGTTATATTTATGAAAACATGATAATAAAACTGTCTTTAAATGCCATCTTATCATTTCTATAAGAAAATAGGCCATCTTATTTTTAAGACAAGTTTGTGATTTTTATTTTCATGTAAGTCCATAACATGTCCTTTTTTTCTACTTGTCCTTTCATATCCTGTGTAGGCTTACGTGCCACTATTTATAATAAAGTATATAGCACAGAATGGAGAACAGTGGTGAACCTATTTATTAATATTTGCACATGGGCTAATTAGTGATTTCTGTAATACGAACTGTGATTGGTATCTTCTGTATTTTCCTAACAATTTATATGTTATAAATTACATATGATATTTCTCCCAATTTCTCATGGTGCTATAATGGCACATTAATACCACAAAGATAAAACAAGGTTTTGTGGTATAGATGACCAAATGTTGAGTAACTGAAGACAACCTAAAATGTATTTATTGTATAGCTTTCAGAATAATCGTCTCAAAGAGTTAATGAGGATGGTAGAATATATGAGTGGTGAAAACTTGTCGTATTGTTGGATTTTAGATAATTCATTGCTTACTAAATAAAAATACTGGAATCTTTTCTGTTTTCTCTAGTTGTAAATACATTTTGTGATTAAATACCATAGCTTCATTTCTTCAGTGACGTTAATTCACTGATGTGTACAACTTTAGTTTTGTTTGATGTAAACAAATACTTTGCAATCATAACTTTGCCTTTCTATATCTACAAACCTTTTAAATGTGTTGTTCTAAAATTATAGTTGAAAAAATTGCTACAATAATTGATGCTTATCTGTGCTGCTGTATATAATAGCTATGTGAGTACAATTTTTTTAGGGTTGTAAATGGGTAGTAGCTCCTTACTAAGAAGGAGATGTTAATATAGTTTAAGAATATGTTTAACCTAAATTCTCCCAAAATTAGTGAACCAATAAAGAAATGGGCAAGTGAACTAAACAGAACTTTCTCAAAAGAAGAAATTCAAATGGCTAAAAAACACATGAGAAAATGCTCACCATCTCTAGCAATAAAGGAAATGCAAATTAAAACCACACTAAGATTCCACCTCACCCCTGTTAGAATAGCCATCATCAGCAACACCACTAACAACAGGTGTTGGCGAGGATGTGGGGAAAAAGGAACCCTCTTACACTGTTGGTGGGAATGTAAACTAGAACAACCACTCTGGAAAAAAATTTGGAGGCTACTTAAAAAGCTAAACATTGATCTACCATTTGATCCAGCAATACCACTGTTGGGGATATACCCAAAAGACTGTGACACAGGTTACTCCAGAGGCACCTGCACACCCATGTTTATTGCGGCACTATTCACAATAGCCAAGTTATGAAAACAGCCAAGATGCCCCACCACTGACGAATGGATCAAGAAAATGTGGTATCTATACACAATGGAATTTTATGCAGCCATGAAGAAGAACGAAATGTTATCATTCGCTGGTAAATGGATGGAATTGGAGAACATCATTCTGAGTGAGGTTAGCCTGGCCCAAAAGACCAAAAATCGTACGTTCTCCCTCATATGCAGATAGTAGATCAAGGGCAAACACAACAAGGGGATTGGACTTTGATCACAAGATAAAGCGAGAGCACACAAGGGAGGTATGAGGATAGGTAAGACACCTGAAAAACTACATAGCATTTGTTGCCCTCGACACAGAGAAACTAATGCAGATACTTTAAAGCAACTGAGGCCAATAGGAGAAGGGGACCAGGAACTAGAGAAAAGGTTAGTTTGAGAAGAATTAATTTAGAAGGTAACACACACGCACAGGAAATCAATGTGAGTCAACTCCCTGTATAGCTATCCTTATCTCAACTAGCAGAAATCCTTGTACCTTCCTATTATTGCTTATACTCTCTCTACAACAAAATTAGAGCTAAGGGCAAAATAGTTTCTGCCGGGTAGCGAGGGGTAAGGGGTGGGGGAAGGGGGAGAAATGATGTAATCATTGTATGCACATATGAATAAAATAAAAATTAAAAAAATATGTTTCACATATAGTTAATTGCTTTTCTGCACTGTCTAGTATGATGAAAACCACTAGCCATGTTGGCTCTTGAACATGTGAGATGTGGCTAAGTCTGAATTGAGATGAAATGTCTCAATATTTATATTAATTGCACATTCAAATTATATTAGAATTAATTTCATCTGTTCATTTTACTTGTTAATGTAGCTACTAGAAAATTTAAAATTACATATGTGATGTACATTTTGTTTCTATTCGAGTACAATTCTGATTGTAATTTTTGTTTTCTGACTACAGTAAGACCTAGTTAAAATCATATGCCTCTCCCCAATACTTCGTTAAAATAAAGGACTTGTTCCTCAGTATTTAGATAGGCCTAAGGCAAGCCCTTGTTTGCAGTAAATTCTTCCCATGGCAAATAGTTCAAGTTAGACTAGTATACTAATTCCAACTTCCATCTTTACCAGTTCTTTTTCTCTGAGTTGGTAGGTTATTTACTCTGTCCTTCAGTTTCCTCAAATATAAAATTGGAGTATAAATAGTCTATACAAAGTACATGGACCATATTCATCCTCCTTCCATTTCCGTTTCCCTTCCCCTCTCTCACTGGTACCCACCCACCCATGGACAGGACCTGTTTTACCTTCCTGTCCTTCATTTTTTTTAAAAGTGTATATTGATTGTTTAAGGGAGTTTTACCATGGTATTTCATCACACATGCATGTATTGTACTTTAATCAGATAACCCTCTCTGTTACTTTTTTCTCTTACTGTCCTGCTCCCCTATTATTCAGCAGCTTTCAGTGTATTTCATTATGCTATCTTCATAAACAGATGCAGCGTGTTTCGATGTTACTCATTCTTATATCATTCTTTTTACCTCCCCATCTCCCTGTAGGCCCCTCAGACAGACCTTCTCTTACAATCCTGTTCTCTGTGTATATGTATATATATGCACATATGAATATAAGATCATGTATGTATTTATACATGCATCTTTTAAGTCTAGCTTACAAATAGGGAAAACATGGACCTTTGTCCTTCTGAGCCTGGCTTACTTCGGTTAACATGATGACTTCCAATTCTGTCCATTTTCCTGAAAACAACATAATTTTATTCTTTATGGCTGAATAATACTCCATTGTGTATATATACCACATTTTCTTAATCCATTCATCAGTCTGGTATCTGGGCTGTTTACAAAGCTCAGCTGTTATGAATAGTGCTGCAGTAAACATAGATGTGCAAGTGTCTGTATTGTATTCTGGCTTGCATTCCTTTGTGTATATGTCCATGAATGGTATGGTTGAATTCTATGGTAGGTCTATATTTTTAGTTTTTTGAGGAACCTCCATACTTTTTTCCATAGCAGTTTCACTAATTTACATTCCCACCAAGAATGGATAAGGGTTCCTCCCCTGGTTGACCTCCCCCAGCATTTGTTGTTGTTTGGATAGTTGATTATAGCTATTCTGACTGAATGAGGTGAAATCTTAGTGTCATTTTGATTTGCATTTCCTTTATGGCCAAGGATATTGAGCATTTCTTCATGAATTTCTTGACCATTTGTACTACTGCTTTTGAGATTTTCTGTTCAGTTCATTGACCCATTTATTTGTTGGGTTGTTGATTATTTACGGAGTTAGTTTTCTTTTTTTTTTTTAACTCCTTGTATATTGTGGTTATTAATCTCTTGACAGATGTATAACTAGCAAAGAGAAAATACTGCGAATTTTGTCCTAATTATTCCGTTCATTGGACACCAGAATTAAAAATGTGATTGTCTGATACTGTGGTCATATTCTTTGGAATGGTAACCATTAAGATGTCACAAAATTCAGAAATTAGTAAACAGTAGAAAACAATATTGAAGTTACCACAGTCTCTGCTCAGTTTGGTTGGTTATTCATTTGTTTAAACTCAGCCTTGTGCATGCTGGGCAGGTGCCCTACCACTTGAGCCCTTTTTGCTTTAGTTGTTTTTCTAATAGGGTTTTGGTTTCATGCCCAGGTTGGTTTGGATTTTGATCTTCCTATTTATGCTTCCTGTGCACCACCACACCAAGCTTTTAGTGACTGAGAATCACTAAAATTGCCTGGGTTGGCTATGAACCACAGTCCTTCCTCTCTATGCCTCCTGAGTAGCAAGGATCATAGTTGTGACCCACCTATAATCCTTGTTTCTTTCTTGTTTTTTTTTAACTCAGATCAGTAGTGATTATGAAATCCAAAAACTTAGGTGTGAATAACAAAATATAAAAATGTAATTGATGTAAACATGGGTTAACATATTTTATACCTTCTAGGTATAAAATATACCTAGAAGGAATGTTTACTGCTGCAGACTCATAAAAACATATTTGAAAGGTTATTAAAATAGTTGAAGAAACTCAAGTATGGGAAATAGATGTGCTTAAATAAAATTCTTTAATATTTCAGGGACAGTTTTAAAATACTTCATTATATTTGTCTTTTTTTCTTCTGTACCAGTTTTTTGGTTCATCTTATTGATAGAATAATGAAAGCAATATGTTGCAGGTAAATGTTTAATGTTTTTTCAACCATCTACTCATATGAAAATGCCATCTAATATGTCTATCTTTAGTCTTTCTGTCTCTTTCCCCTGAATCTTATGCTTATCTCTCTTTACATTGAATCCTTTGTTCATCTTCTTTACCTCTTTATCAATACTGCTGTTCTCTAGCTTTGTATTTTCTATAGTTATAGTGATTTCTATAGTTGTAGTCAAATTCAAAATGTGGGTTTGAATCCTGGCCATAATCCTTCTAGATGTGTAACTTTTTAGTGAAACACCTTCTTTCTGCAAAATGAGAATTAACAACTTCTTTATAGAGCTTTGTGACTCTTATATACCACATATGTAAAACGTTCAGCGTGGAACCTGGTGTCTAGTGTGTACCAGATAGCACAGAACTTGTTATATGGTAGGTAACAATAGTAGCCATAATGCTGAAGTAGTTCTACTTAGACTACAGTCACTACTACAACTAGTTTAGTTATGATTATGTCTAAACACCCTTACACCACCAGCTTCCCACCTATTCAGAACTGGCAAGATATCATTTTGCTTGACTCCTTAATCGCCCTTTTTTAAAGGTATCATATTGTTAACTCCAGTTACTAAGCTTACCCTTTCCCCATTAGCTTGTGACTGAATTAATGCAACATTTTTTTAAAGCTGATTTTCCCCTTTATACTTTCTCTAATATATTCTGTTTTCTTCTGCCAAACTAATCCCCTCACCTATCTAAGACACCAAATCTCAGCTGTGATGCTTTGAATGTGGGAGTGATCAGCAGTGATCTGATGGATGAAGCAAGGGCAAGCTGATGGGTGACCTTAAGTTACATGGTAGGATTTACACTTTGAGATAATGGGAAAACCTTTCAAAGGGTTTTCAGTGATGGCCTGTTTTAGAAAACCAGTCTGTATACTTTGAAGACTGAAGGCAGGGAGACTTACTTTGGAGACTCATGAAATAATTTGATTCTACTTAATGTTTTTGTTTGTTTTTTGATTACCTCAGTATTTATCCTAACATTTATACTTTTTAGACAAAAATTGTAAAGGTTTTAACATCTTTTTTTTATAGACTGATTAAAATTTTTAGTTTCAACATGTCTTAAAACATGTTAAAGACCATACATATACTTGACACATTGTAATTATAATTAGGCATATTTAAAACCATTTGAGTGATTCATCTCTGATACTGAACAAAACTCTGATGCAGTGGCAACTAATTTAATAGCCTTTCTGAATTAAAATTTTCATAGCAAAACTGAGTGTCTGTGATTTCTGTGGACATTTGATGGTATGAAAGATGCTCTACTTAGGTGCTGGTGATGCAAAGAACAGTTGATTGTGGTTCTTCCTTTGAGGCTATGACCTAGTTGGAAAAGCAAGACTGCTTATAAAAGAAAGGATTTTGTGATGGGTTAAAAGAACAGTATGTGAGCATTAGTGTTAACTATGGCTAGAGTTAAGAAGGTTTTATATATATACATACATACACACACATATACACAGTATTTTGATAACTGAAAGAGCAATGAAGTGAGGATGACATTTTAGGCAGGGGATCATTGGAAACTCCAATTATGTTGCTGTCTTTAAGGAGATATAATGCCAACCTTATGTACGCAGGAACAATTTCAGATGATAGGAAGTAACATGTATCAAGTTAGGGTAAATGAATTAGGACTTGGAGATGATAGCTTTGAAAGAAAGCCTTATCTTGAAAGCAGTGAAATAGCAGAAGTGCAGCTCAACAATCTGATCACCTATTTTTCTTCCACTCTCTTTGGATTACGAATATTTCCTGAGTATCTGTAATTCTCAAGGAATGTTTGGGAAGTTATTTAAATACTCTGGACCTTAGTTTCCTTATCTGTATAATTGTATAGTAATTACTGAACTTGTAGGTAAATGAAAAAGTATCCAGCACAGTGCCTAATAAATTACAGTAGATATTATGTAAATATTAGTTTATCTCACTTTCTCAATATTGTCTTAGTATCTCCAGTTGCTTAACACTCTGCTCATAGAAGTCTGCTCTGTGGTGTTCATATTAACATAGATTTTATTTAAACATATGAGATAACTTTTTTCAGGGAACTTTATTCATTAAAATTCAGTGCTGTAGTTTACTTTCCTTGATAATGGTACAAGTAATTCTCATTAGTTGTCATTAGATTGATCCCTATGAAATTGCCAATATGTAACTGTTACTAACCTATAAAAATGGTAATTTTATGTATTCACCTGAATCAAACATGACTGTACTGGTATAATAGTGGATACTTAAAATACTTAGTTTTCTTTCTTTTTCTCTTTAAGATCCTGATAATTTAAGTGACTCTCTCTTTTCTGGTGATGAAGAAAATGCTGGGACTGAGGAAGTAAAGAATGAAATAAATGGAAATTGGATTTCTGCATCCTCCATTAATGAAGCTAGAATTAATGCCAAGGCAAAAAGACGTCTACGAAAAAACTCATCCCGAGACTCTGGCAGAGGTGATTCAGTCAGTGACAATGGAAGTGAAGCAATCAGAAGTGGAGCAACTGTGCCAACCAGTCCAAAAGGAAGGTTGCTGGACAGGCGATCGAGATCAGGGAAAGGAAGAGGACTGCCAAAGAAAGGTTGGTATATACTATGTGCAAAGAAACAAATAGTAAAACAAATTGTCTCATTCTTGTACTGTGATTATTTTGTTCTAGAAATGAAATACAAACAATGATAAGGTTTATATAGTAATAATGATGACTGTTCAACTTTTTTCTTTAGGTTGATTCTTTTTTCTTGTTTGAGTTGATTTACTTTCCTGGGGTAGAACTTTATCTCCTGTTTCCAGCAAAATATAGTATACTCTAATGTTTTTTAAGTTATGAATATGCATGTATTTTGTTTGCAAGTAGTCAGAAATTTATCATACCTATTATTTAATGAATCTAGTTATGTCCCTTGTTAAGAATAATCAGTGAAGTCTTCACTTCCATTTCCTACATGGGGTATAGGAAATATTTCTCCCTTTTTTCCTTTTTTATCCTGTTACACTAAATTCTTTTCCTGATAAATTTTGCTATTACTATCACTAAAAACAAACAAAGTAGTAAGTATACATTTGGTAACCTCTTTAACATTCTCAAAGATCTGGTTTGGAGTTCTCTTCAGCTGTTTTTGCACTTTAAGTGTAGACATTTAAAATTTGTTGAACATGGGTTCTGTCAACTTCTCTCTATAGTACGATTTTGATACAATTGGAGATTTGACTAGTTTCTTTCTGAATGATAGGAGCTTCAGTTTACAGCCTAATTAAAATCTTAATAATTTAAGTTACTTTCTTCTGGTGGAGAAAATCCTTAGAATGAAAAAAAAGAGTGAAACAGGGAATTGGATTTCAGCATCCTCCATTGAGACTTGAGAATTATCACCAAGTCAGAAAAATGATAGTGGAAAATTTTTCCTTTGAGGGGAAGGGAGAAACAAATGTTTAGATAAGCTGAAATTATAGTAATGTGTTAGAAATTATTTTTTTGTGAATAGTTTTATAATCATTGTTTGGGTCTAAATAAAACCTAGTTGTCAAATTATGGTTTGCTCTGATGGCAAGGATTACACTTTAGGTAAAAAATAAAACCTTCCAATAAATTAGTTATTTATGACATATTGTTAATGGCAAAGTGTAATTTAATATGTAATTTTATATCTAAATTTGCATATGTGAGTATGTACATTTATAGCAAATGTTTTAAAACATCTCACAGTTGTCATTGTGTTTCTTTGATTAATAATTTTCCCTTCTTGAGTTTTCTATGCTAAATTTCACTGGTCCAACATGTTTCTTTTTTTCTTTTTAGCCCCAAGAAGTACCAAATTTAGAACTCACCTGTAGTATCACTTCCCACAGAGTCCTTGAAAATGGCTGGTTTTCAGTTTTCTTTTTGTTTTTACTTTTTAACTCTATAAGCTATTTCAATTTGATGTTTTTGAAAATAGATTACAAAATACATGTAGTGTAGTCATTATTAAAAATCTAAATAAAAAGGAGTTCCAAATATAACTCTCAATTGAACAAAAACTAGCATAGAAATTAAAAGTTTTTAGCTGTTACTTAATATTTGCACATTCAGAATTATGTCAGATTTCATTTAAAATTTATGAATTTATGAACTATGAACTTTGTGTTTTCTTTTTTCTCAATTCTAAACTTTTTCAGGTGGTGCAGGGGGCAAAGGTGTCTGGGGTACACCTGGACAGGTATATGATGTGGAGGAGGTAGATGTGAAAGATCCTAACTATGAAGATGACCAGGTATTGTTTACTTTTTTGTTTGTTATTTTGAGACAGGGCCTCTCTGTGTAGCCCATGCTGGCCTGGAACTTGCTATGTTCTTGTCTCGGCGTTCCATGTGTGGGGTTTTTAGGCATGTACTACTATATCAAGCGCTTACTTATTTTTTTTAAATATTTAAAACGTTTGTAAACTTTTGACTTCATGTTTGCAGTTTACTCATAATTTGTCAAATGACATGTATATATTTGTACTCTTATAGCTATCAGATCATGTATATGTTTACAACATGTACATCAAAATCATATATATTCAGTACTTTCAGATTGTTAAGTTAATTTTAGATTAGAGAACCTAGTTAACTGGTAGTAATGTATCAGTCATTTTCACTTAATTTCTGTAGCTAAAAGGTCATTATAAATTCACTTAGAATTATTAATTTACCATTGAGTTAAAATAGGTTCTATAGTAATGATAATTGATAAAGGAGATATAGCCCCCTTTGAATATCATAAAAATGTTACAAATACAAGTTCCTTTTAACTATTACTATTTAGAATAGTAACTATATGATAAAATTTGCATTTTTTCCCTGAGAATATAAATTTTAAATAGATGTTTATAATGAGTTTTTATATTTATCTTTCTAATGGGAAAATTCTTAGAGTAGTGTAATAAACCTGCTTGTATTCACTAGTGTGAGTAATTAACTCATAGCAATCTTGTTGCATTTTATACCTTCATCTACTTTCTCTTTCTGTTGTCTCCTTAGCCTCTTCCCCTGCCCCATCCTGGATTATTTTGAAGCAAATACCAGATATCAAGGCTTTTTTTTTTTTTTTTAAACAGTACTAGGGATTGAACTTGGCCTTGTGCTTCCTAGGAAGGAACATTGTCACTTGAGCCACTTACCTAACCCTTTTTCTTTATGTATTTTTCCTATAAGGTCTGGACCTCAATCCTCCTATTTGTGCTTCCTTGCTTTGTTGGGAATAACAGGCATATACCACTACACCCAGTCATTGGTTAAGATAGGGTCTCATGAACTTTTTGCCTGAGCTGACATCTGACCTCAATCTGCGATCCTCCTAAGTAGCTAGGATTACAGGCTTGAGCCATTGCACCTGGCCTAGTTGTTTCTGTTGTGTATTGTTTGTATGTACGTACTTAACCTATTTTAATTAATAGTTGGATGTGAAAATATTTCTAAGAGAATATGAAAAAATACATATTTGATTCAAATATTGTGGAATTTGCTAAATATTAGTCTGTCCAGAAAATGTTGTTTGCCTAAAGCCATTCACAAATTGCAAATAAGTATTTGAGAGAGGATGGTTTGGTGATGGACATAAATCTTTTTAAAATTTCAGTTGAGGGCTGGGATGTAGCTCGATGGTAGAGCACTTGCCTAGCATGTGTGAGGCCCTGGGTTCAATCCCAGCACCAAAAAAGAAAAGACAAAAAAAAAAAATTTTCAGTTGAACAGTACTTTATTTACTGCAATACTAAGGTTGAACCCAGGGTCTTCATGCTTGGCGAGTACTCTGGCAGTTGAGCCATACCTCCAGCTGAGCATTGCTTTTGCTTAGTTTTAGATTTTTCAGTCATTATGATACTGAACTTTTATAATATAATAAATGCAATATAAATCATGAAGGCTTTGGTTCCTGCTTTTATTTCTGTTTAATTTTTTTACTTCTTGATTTTTTGAGTCAGGGTCTGGCTATGTAACCCAGGCTAGTTTAGAACTTGCTGTGTGGCCCAGGTTGGCGGTGAACTGGTCATCTTTTGCTTCTGCCTCCCGAGTGCTCAATTTATTGTTTTTCTTTTTCTTTTTTTTTTTTGGTAGATGTCTAATACTAGTTTATATTAATGGAGTACATCTTCATCTTTTTAAAAAGTGAAGTTTTAATGAAAATATTGTATATGATAGGAATCCATCTTAAAGATTTTTGGTTTTGAAAGATTTTTTTGAGAGGACTGTAAAAATTAACAAAAGATACAAGGGTTGGGAGCAAATCATATTTGCTATAGCTAGTGGGGGCTAATCTGTATATTGATTTACTAAATTCAGAATTTATAAAAGGGCATTGATAAACCTTTATATAAGTGATCAAAACAGGTAGAGCATGTTTTAATCTTGCCTTGATGGGGATAACTAGTGAGTTGAAATACAAAGTTCTTATTTCAGTTATTCTAAATAGTTTGTTCTTCATAACTCTTTTCCCCTTTCCTTTCACAGGAGAACTGTGTTTATGAAACTGTAGTTTTGCCTTTGGATGAAATGGCATTTGAGAAGACTTTAACGCCAATTATACAGGAATACTTTGAGCATGGAGATACAAATGAAGTTGCGGTAGGCTTAAAGTTACAAGTGTGATACAGTAAAAGAGAAAAAACAGTATTAGTATTTTTGATGGCATAAACACATCTCTAAGAAAGGAAATAAGATCTCATTATGTTATATTAGTTTTTATGTATTTGGAATCTGATGAGACCTATGTACTGTTTCCCCCAAGATGGTACAACCACTATTTTTAGAATTATATAAATTTGTAACATTTTTGTAATTTATAAAATATGATTTTAGCAATTTCACCCTGTGAAACCTCTTGCAGGCCCTCAGTTAAGGATGCCTTACTTAGTTTCTTTTTTTTTTTTGACACTTACTTCAGTGTTCTGGATTAGATTAAAATTTATCTCTGTACTTTGTCAAAAAAAAAAAAAAAAACCTGATACAGAGATTTGAAAAAGACTGACTGCGTTACAGAAATCAAGAGAATAAACTTAAATGTTCTTGAAACATAATTTGATGGGAATGTTTAATAAGTTTGTTATGAATTGTTCATAAAGTAAATCTAAAAGGGTAAAATAAAATTGTTTAATTAGGATTACTGGGCTTAAATACAATAATAATTCTTTAGAAAACATAATTTAGATTCTTAAAATCCAGACTGGACTTTCTTGGTTTATCTGTTAGATGAGGTTTGATCTTTGGAAATATAAAGTCTTTAGTGTTAGCTTGTGGAAGAATTTGATAGGTGATTTCTACCTTTTTGAATCTCAGTTATGTGAAGGAAATGATATGGAAACAGTTACTAAATGTAAGGTGAAACATTCTGTTTCAGAGGAAGCGTTTAAGACCTGCAAAGGCAGGAGCTGTTGAAATCTGGGTGTCCATCTGTACTAATTGTATATTAAGTTTAACTGAGTAGTGCTATACAGAGAGTGTTGTGGAAACATATGATGGAGGGCAAGAGGAGAGGTGATTCTCAACTGTCTGAAATACAGTTAGGAAGTTGCTGGAGGTTTTCCGAGAGAATATCATGTTTAAAAGCAGTGAGGTAGTTGTTTAAGTACAGTCGATGAAAATGTAAGGGTGTAGGAAGAGGGTATAGGTTAGTAAACCAGGACACCAGTTAGGAATTGTGAAAATAATTCTGGTACTCTTCTATTAGTAGTTTATGATTTAAAGGTTCTAAGAAAACTTTTAGTAAAGAGGAAGACTGTTTGGCTATTCTTGGGTTCCCTCAGCCACTTCTTAATTTTTCTGTGCTTTGGGATTTAATAATTTAATATTCAAAGTGTTACTTTGAGCATTAAATGAGGTAATACAGGTGGCTGTTATGATGCCTGGTAACATTGTAAATGGTCAGTATTAGCTGGTAACTTTGTTTTTAATAGAAAAGTTTAACCGTATCTCAGTATTTAAAACATTAATTCCATTTAAAAAATGTGGTTTAAGATCTCATTTTAAATATTACATGAAAGTATAAAGTAAACTTTTATTTCAAGAGAAAGCTTTGAAGAAAGTATAGAGTATATTAATAGCCTATGATAATATAAAATGAATTTTTCCACAACTGCTAATCAAACTGTATTTTTGGAAATAGTATTAGTAAATTGTAAAGCAGAGGATTAGTTAACACCAGACTTAGCCACATTATAGTTTAATAATACTCATTTAATAGTTTAATAAACTATTTTCAGTATAACTCAAATTCATGAATTTAGTGATGCTTAGGCAGTGTAAGCTTAACAGAGTGGATCAATATTATTCTAGCCTCATGAATAAGTCTGCGTCTCTGTTATTTAAAGAGGGAGAGGTGAGAAATATAGATAAAAGCTTGATTTTCCAAAACAAATTTTATTGAACTTTGTCGTATACTCTTTAAAATAAAAATTTGTATTCTTTTGAATAGGAAATGCTGAGAGATTTAAATCTTGGTGAAATGAGAAGTGGAGTGCCAGTGTTGGCAGTGTCCTTAGCACTGGAGGGGAAGGCTAGTCATAGAGAAATGACATCTAAGCTTCTTTCTGACCTTTGTGGGACAGTAATGAGCACAAATGATGTGGAAAAATCATTTGATAAATTGCTGAAAGATCTACCTGAATTAGCATTGGATACTCCTAGAGCACCACAGGTTTGTCATTCTTTTGTTCACTCCTTTTTCTTCTACACTTTTAACTGTAGAAACATGACCTGTTCCTGCTAAGCTTTAATAGAAGGAAAGTAGCCCACATTTCTTGCCATACAAAAAATAGCAAACACTTTGTATATTTTTGCTATTTTGTCTTTTAGACAGTCTTCATGAGAACATAAATGCAACTTTACTTTTTACCCCCCTCCACTATGCTTTGTATAGGTTTTAGGTCATATATATTTTTTCTGTCTATATATTTTCTATGTATTGTTTTATTAGCTAGGATTTTTTAAAATGTAGATTGTTATAACAATTATAATTGAAGTTGTTTGATGCTTATAAGAGTCATAAGTAATGCTATTATTTCTTTTTATAGTTTTGAAAATAAAATTGCTATTATCAAAATTTTAAAGTTTTAAAGTAGAGTGTAAGTCAATTTTTAAAAGTGGCTTCTGTAATAGTTAAGTAGTCTATGTAAGATATTGAGCTGTGACTCAAAACGGACCTTTTTTCCCTCTTCCTCCCAGTGAGCACTTTAAAAAATGATTACGAGTTCTTCTTTAGAGTTTTTGAAAAAATAAAAGCCAAAAGAAGATAGGCCAGCAAATAGCCACTGCTAACATTTTGATGTTATGTTTCCCAGGTTATTTATCAATGTATGGCTTTTATATACGCTTACATTTTGTTTAATTTTATAAAATGGAATCATAATATACATGCTATTTTGTAAACTTAGTTTTTCTCATACCCTAAGATATGGTAAAATATCTTTCCTTATGTCCATATGGTATGCCATTTTGTATATACACTATTTAACCACACCTTTCTTATTGGACACTGAAGTTGTTTTTAATTTTTATAATTTAAGAATATACTTTGAAATAAGTATTTTGACTTAACTTTTCTCCATAAGGTAAATTCCCTGTAATTTTTTTTTTGAGAAATGAGTCTTGCTTTCTTTTTTAAAGAAGTTTCTCTTTAAGTCATTTAACAAATATTTTTGATCATACATGAAGTGGGCATTTGGGAGTGAGCAATACAGATGCAGCCTCCACTCTGATATTTAAATTGAACGTCAAGATGAGGGAGTATATGCCAAGCATAACCAATAGGTGCTAAATAGATGTTTTTGAATATTCCAACTTGTCTTTTAGGTATTGATTATATAGTTAAACTAATCTTCATCTTAGAAATTGTGTCCTATAAAGATTTGAGGTAGGTTTTTTTTTGTTTTTTTTTTAAAATATAGCTTTGTTTCTTTCTTATAGTTGGTGGGCCAGTTTATTGCTAGAGCTGTTGGAGATGGAATTTTATGTAATACCTATATTGATAGTTACAAAGGAACTGTAGATTGTGTACAGGCTAGGTAAGTAAATTAATTTTGATACTTACAATTTCAAAGTATGGGGAAATTCTATAGGATCCTATTGAAATGACATTTGCATTAATCATACATTGTGAACATGTATTTGTCCTGTGTCTGTATTCTCCATTATTAAAATGAAAAGATTGTTGGCACGAAATAATAGAAAGAAGGAAAGTAGTAAGATGCAGAAGTTCGTTCTGGGTTTTAGTTAACTTATTAGCTATCCTTATGTCAAGTCACCCTTTTCTGGGCCTTAGTTTTCTTATTTAAAATGAAACCATTGGGTGTAGAATGTTAAGGTCCCTTCAGCTTCTGTCATTCTGAAGTTATTATTTTAACAAGATAGACATTAATAGAGGAGCTTTGTTTACAGTTTTATTTTGTATTTACCATAGAAGTACCTTTTTAGAAAATAATGTCTTTTTTATGTTTATTCTTTGTTATAATCACTGTAAGCTAAATGTGATGTTTAGCTGTATGATTTTCCTTAACTTCCTGGAGACTTAGATTTGGATTTAGCCATATCTTAGGTTTTCCCAGGTATAGATGGCTATTTCAGGTCATAGTTGAGATAGTCCCCCTGGGTGGGAAGTTACGGATCTAGGTAAAAGTTTTATGTGAAATGTTTTCTCAGTGTAAATCAATTATTTTTAATTTTTTTTGAATGAGAAATGGAAATAAAAGAACACGAGCATATTAATATGTAATAAGTGTTTTTTGCTATCTACTTTTATTTTGGAAAGGAGTTTTGAATTTTATATTTTGTGTTGTATGAAAGTTTTTGGTATATATGGGATTTTGTCAACTTTATCCATAATTTGATAGCTTCGGGCATGTCCATGTATCAAAATTAAATCCTTTCCTTTTTTTTTTCTTTTAGAGCTGCTCTGGATAAGGCTACTGTGCTCCTAAGTATGTCTAAAGGTGGAAAGCGTAAAGATAGTGTGTGGGGATCAGGAGGTGGGCAGCAGTCTGTCAATCACCTTGTTAAAGAGGTACCTGTTGGGTATTATTTTTTAAAACACATGGATTCTTGTAGAAATACCTGTTAGTTGGTATTTTTATGGGCAAAAATTCCATCCAGTTTTATAAATTATACAATAATTATGTGATTGATAAATTTTTCTGTGATTTTTAAATGACACTGTTAGGTTGAAAGGGCTTTCATGAACAGTTATGAAAAGGTTGCCTGTGAATGTCCATGGAATGCCTGAAATCTTTCTTATGTTGGTATTTAAAACTTTTCAAACACTGTTTAAATAAACCTTTATTATTATTATTATTATTATTATTATTTGAGGTGATGGGGTTTGAACTTGATAGGTGCACTACTGCTTGAGTCACATCTCCAGCTCAATAAATGTTTTATATGAGCAATTTGAAACTGGCTGCTCTCAGACTATAAGTCATGAATTAAGAGCACTAGAGTAGCTCAGAGTGGTAGATTTTTGTGAGGATGTTTACTATCTGTATGTGTTTACTATCTATATGCATTTATTAAAAGAAAAAGTAGTGGAGTTATTGTGTTAAAATGCTGGTTTATTGCCAGTTGACTTTTTTCTGGTATTCTGTAGCAAGAAATGTAAAAAGTAATGTCTTTAACGCTAAATCATTAAAAAATGCAGGCAATTAAAAGAATTGTAGTTTCTGTGCTTTTGATTTTTTAGTATATTGTGATTATAACTGATTTTATTTAATCTTTTCTATATGTAAGTGATAGAATATATCTATTTAATTGCTGAGGAGCTCAAAAGTTAAGAGTATTGACTATTTTTGGTTTTATATATGTTAGAATGCATAGATCAGTGTTTCTAGTGTCACAATTGGAATATGTTTTTAAAAAATAAAAAAATTGTTAGAAAATTTGAGGTATAAAAATGGTCAAGATGCCAAGGCTATTAGGCAAGAAAAGCAATAAAGGGCATACAGATTGAAAGGAAGAAGTAAAGCTAGTTCTATTCCCAGATGATATGATCAGTAGACAGGAAATCCAATATGAATTCCCAGAATAACTCCAAAAGAAACCAAACAATAATTCAACAAGGTTGCAGGATATAAGATCAATATATGAAATTCATTTCTGCATCTCTACAATAGCAATGGATGATCTGAAATAAAATTTACGATTGCACTTACAATAGTAAATTTACAACAGTATCAAAAATAAAATACTAAGGAATAAATTTACCAAAAAAAGTGTACAAGTCTTGTACACTGAAAACTGCAAAACAATGAAGGAAAGTAAAGACCTAAGTAGAAAGATACTCTATGTTTATGGATTAAGACTTAATACTAAGAAAATGCTCTCCAAAGTTAATCTTTTGAAACTGCCAAACTGTTTAATGTTATGTCAGTTATCTCTTAATAAAAAGATGGAAAAGGTAAAACTGGAAATATTACTAATAAATGTTTGAGGTTGATGTTATTTGGATTCCCATTTACATAAAGGAAGGGTTAGACAAAGAAGACTTCTAGAAAGTTTTCATGTTTTTGAAATTTACCATCCTCAGATGTGCATGGAATCTGATGCAGAACATTTTACTTTGTTATAAAACAAATGCTAAAGCTAATATAATTGAAATAACAATATATTATAAAGTAAAAGTAGTTTATTCAGTTGTTATACATTATTAATCAAGATACATTCTAGCGATTACATTTTACTTTTACTTTTTATGGAAATACATTATAGAAGTAGAATGTAGAGGATACTTAACTACTCAGTTAGCCATTTATTGCATGCTCTCTAGACCCAGGTAATTTTATAGGGAATTTATAGTGAAGAACATTTTTAGTTGAGGCTCTTTTGCTGAAAAACTTTTCCTACTTTTTTCCTAGAGCCAGAGATACTACCGTACTAGCTTTAGTTAGGAGAGTCAAGATTTGAATTTCTTTAGCTACAGCTGGAAGCTGAATTACTGAGTGTTTTTAAATCATGGGTTTCAAATCCTCAATTGTAGAGAAAAGAGAAATTGTATGGAAATCTTTGCCTTGCTGTGTAATGTCCCCTTATCATGTCTCATGTTTTGGTTCCCATTGTATTGCTAAACTCAACTTGATAGATTATTTTGTGCCACTTAAAAAATTCATATTGAAATTTTTCAGTTAGTGCCCTCTAGTGGTATTTAAAAAAATCCCTTTCAATAGGAAGTAGTGAAGCATTATGGTCATGACCCAGGCCATATATACATTATAAACCCACTTGCAGCTCTCAGTTATTACTCAGACACACTGAAGCACTGCATTTGCTTCTTAATTATGAGCCCTTTAAAAGTTGGAAATTTATTTTTTTAATTATGAAAAGTTCTTTTATGACTGTACCTTGTTAGATCTCTTTGTTCTGTTTATGATGTTGTTTCATCATGTAATATATTGGGAGAAATGTAAATAAATCCTTTAGGCAAGCACAGTCTTTTAAAAAGTCAGGAATTGTAACATTTCTACTTTTAAATCTGATAGATTGATATGCTGCTGAAAGAGTATTTACTCTCTGGAGACATAGCTGAAGCTGAACATTGCCTTAAGGAACTGGAAGTACCTCACTTTCACCATGAGCTTGTATATGAAGTAAGATTACTTTGCCATGCCAAAGAGAATTTTTAAATATTGCTTTTTGTACCAATGACTTTAATCCTTGTAGTAACACATATCCTTTCATTTTTCTTTTAAAAAATGTTAAGGAAGCAATGTTTAAATTTTTTAATCATTAAAAAATCATTTAATTATTACATCTTAGAGAAAGGGGACCTAATACATTTTAGGAGCAATTTCTTATGTGAATTAATGACCAAAAACTTCATTTCTTTATTTAATTTTTAGGCTATTGTAATGGTTTTAGAGTCAACTGGAGAAAGTGCATTCAGGATGATTTTGAATTTATTAAAATCCCTTTGGAAGTCTTCTACCATTACTGTAGACCAAATGAAAAGGGTAAGTATAGCAATATCTTGAGTAGGTTTTGGGCTTACACATGTAAATATATGATTGAATAAAGATTTTAAATTTTTAATGAAAGTTTCTTTTAGGTATGTTTAGTTTTATTACAGTAGATTTTGTTTTTTAATGTTTGAGATTTGAAACTCTTGCACCATTTCTTAGAAAGTAAAACCCATACTTCAGTGGGTTTTTTGCTTATTTAAAAAAAATGTAATAGTGTGGTAGCCCAAGATTTCACTTTCCTAAGATATGATAATTTATCTAGAGAAAAACATGAGTCTTTAAAAAATTATATTTTATTTAAAATTGTTTTTGAAATGGTGGGATTCTTATTTGGCCTTGTATTTTTTTAAAAAGATAGTAAAATGTAGCTAGAGAAGTAGATGAGGCAGGAATTACACAGCTTTTGATGTCTGTCTGCAGCGCTTTTGGGAACAGTTTCAAAGAAAATGTTCTGTAGCAAATGTACTTTCTATACTTGCCACGTCACATCTGACTTGCTACATCATCTAAACAGTTGGCCTTAAATGTAGATTGATACAGTGATGGGTTGTTTCATGGCATGTACTTTATATGGGCTAACAACAATTCTGTGTGTAATTTTATGGTTTTAGGGATATGAGAGAATTTACAATGAAATTCCAGACATTAATTTGGATGTCCCACATTCATACTCTGTGCTTGAGAGATTTGTAGAAGAATGTTTTCAGGCTGGAATAATTTCCAAACAACTCAGAGATCTTTGTCCTTCAAGGTACTTTTAAATACTTCTTTTCTGAATATATAATACCTGGGATATACTTGGGAAGACGAAGTTTTCTGTCATTCCACCTGGCAGAAAAATAAAATAGTGTTTTTTCTGAAGTGACTGAAGAGAGAACCACCTACTTGAGAGTTTATGGGGAAACAAGGGTGATGCTTGTTTTGCCACCCTGTAAATCTGTCCAGGACTACTTTGTGAAACCCCTGTTCATGTGGACAAGCTCTTGTTCTAAGTAGTGTAAGTATCATTTCAGAGTAGATGTTACGACGAATAAGATGAGAAAATGGAAACTTTTGGAGGCATACCTTTTCTAAGGTCACTTAACTAGTACATCATAGAGGTCAAGTATGAATTCACACTTTCTGAGGCTTCTATACTCTGTGGTTTCCTTTGCTTCACAGAAGGGAGAAATTGGGACTATTTGCTGGAAAGTATGTGTGCATAGGGGTTTTTCCTTTGTAAGTAATATACTAAAATATAATTTTTAAGGGATAAGGTGTTTTTTTTTTAAATAACCTTATAATGAGTAGCTAAACTTCATTTTGTATAAATTTTAATTTTTTTTTTTTTTTTAGAATTCACCTGAAAAATGTCTTAAGCTATGAGAATTTTTATTTACATGCATTGTGAAAATGAAGTCTCATAAAATATTTCCTGGTAGGGTCACTTGCTCTACAAAGTTTAGAACCCATTAAGGGAAAGAAAAAAAAAATGGTAAAAGATAGAATTTTAGTGACTTTGGTAGAAATGTCTGGAAGCATAGACCTTGGTTTATGGATGGGACCATTTATATACTTGTGTGCTAAATGGTATGTATCAGTTCAAAAACTCACCTTTGGCAAGCAAGGCTTTTTGCTGACGACTGCTTCATTCCCTACCTTGATCTTGTAGTTTAAAGCCTTTGCCTTTATATTTGAAAAAATGTAGCTGGTTCCCACTTAATAGTAAGTATGAAAAGGAGTTAGTACTTTGGCATTGCTTATTAGTTTAGTCTCTTCACTCTCTTTAAGAAAATCTCTTTAGTTTTTTTAGGAAATGTAAATTTTTAGTGCATACCAAACAACTTTGACTTTTGTTCTCTATCCTTCTGCATATTTGTGTGTGAGCTTCCATACTTGTACATGTTGGTCTGGGATCAGAGAGTAAGGACTAATTCTGCAAAAATTCCCTTTTCCACTGTGTTCCTCCTGGGCTATTGTTACTACATACAGGTAAAATGTGGTTATGTGATAGGGAAGGGCTTCTTGAGTTTGAAACAGAATCTCAAAATGATGGAGTATAGGCTAGAAGTAAATGGATTCTTAATTGTTATTCCACATTTGGATAATGGCTTTTCTAAAGCTGAGAAAAATTAAAAAAAAAAATTAAACATGGATCTTTTGATAGGTTCTACAGTTCCAGTTTGCATAATTCTCAATCTTGTTGGTGTTTCCTATTTGGTGGGGTTCATTGTTTAGTTTTCAAATAATGTGGTAGAGATAAATATTAAATTCTAAATAAAATGTTTATTTTAACCTTTTTATTTAAAAAAAAATTAACTTTTAAAAATATAACTACTTAGCTAATGAACTTAGTAATGAAATTTTTTTTTAAACCGAAAACTACTAAGATTTGCTGTTCATGTTTTATAAAGCTAAGATGTATACCAGAGGGGAAGAAGTCTTTTTCAAAGTAAGTTTTTAAAAACAGTCAAACCATTTAAATCTAAATGTGTAACCAAAAAAATACCAAGTTTAAAAATTTTTTTCAGTGAAGATAGAATTTGTATCTGTTTTCATGGTTTTGTTCTTTTAATTACAGGGGCAGAAAGCGTTTTGTAAGTGAAGGAGATGGAGGTCGTCTTAAACCAGAGAGCTACTGAATATTAAGAACTCTTGCGGTCTTAGATGTTATAAAAATATATATCTGAATTGTAAGAGTTATTAGCACAGGTTTTTTTTTTTTTTTTTTTTTTAAGCACTTGTTTTGGGTACAAGGCATTTCAGAAATTTTATAAACTTACGGGGAATTTTTAAAGGAAGTGTTTTCTTTCTTCTTTGTTTTTGAGGGCATAAAGGAGGGACAAAAAAGTAACCACTTCTTAAGTGGAAAATTCTAATAAGCTACCTTTTGTAAGTGCCATGTTTATGACCTAATCATTCCAAGTTTTGCATTGATGTCTGACTGCCACTCTTTTCTTTCAAGGACAGTGTTTTTTTGTAGTAAAATCACTGGTTTATACAAAGCTTTATTTAGGGGGTAAAGTTAAGCTGCTAAAACCCCATGTTGGCTGCTGCTGTTGAAATACTGTGCTTCGGGAGTAAAAAAAAAAGTTTTTTGTCTTAAAGAGTTTTTAAAAATGAGTTAGTCATGAGACTTATTCATCTTTCCAGGGAACATACTGAATGTTCTTAAAGACTAAACAGTTAAGTATATGGTGGCTGGAACATCTATTTTTCTACAAAACTGGAAAATTAAACCTGGTTCTACAAGAATGTACAACAGAAAATAAAACATGTGAAACAGTGTTGATTCTTTATTGGGAGTATGTTTATTTTAGGTCTTTAAAAATTTTTTTAAATTTCTTTTCTAGCATCACAAGGCCCTGGTCCAATCCTCAGAACTGCCAAAAACCAAAATTAGAAAAACAAAAAACAAACCCAAATACCTTAAAATTTCACACAGTAAGTGTTAAATCGTTTGTTAAAGGTAGCACATTTAAACCTAGTGAATTTAACCTGCATTCCTTATGAAGTTTCTTATTTTTTACTTGCAGACTTTTAAATCAGTAAAAAGAAATGCTTATAAGGTTATATTGCTGAAAATGCATGCACACTTTAAATCATTGTTTTTCTATCTAATTTAGAGCTTAGTGATATTTCTTTTGTTATTTGTAATACTTTTCATCATTCTTAAGTTCTATTGTCAAGTAATGCCAAATTAAAAATTATTCTCCCAAGACTCAGTGCTTTACATTTACCAATCAGAGAAATACTGGCTACCAGTAAATAACAGTTATCTAAAGAATGATCACATTTCTAACTTCTTTTACAGAGCCTAATTACTCATCAAGGCTGCAAGGTCTATGATAATTTAAAGTGCATATTGACTGCAGTAAGCCAGTCAAGAATAATGTTCATAATTTACAAAGGTAATTCTTAGGAATATACCTATTACAGATTTAGGTACAGTCTTGCAGAATGAAAGCTCCAAATTTAATGTTCAGTTACTTCATGGGGTCTTTCAAGCCTGTGTTACTTACTAAAGCTTACTGTAGATAATTATAATAGCATTTTCAGCTTTTTAAATTGTGTTTGATACTTGGGTGATAAAGTTAGTCCTGTAATTCCTTTAGTCCTTAAAAATTTAAGTAACCATTTGTCATTACATAGGATCATTACTGATGAGGCTAGATAGCATTAAATATGACATGGCACACAAAATTGGTTTAAAAATTATTTTTAATTAGGTAATATAAACGCCCAGCATAAATACTTTATGCAACAATAGAATGTATCTTCAAATTTAGGTTTTTAATAAACATAAAGAACATCTGTATATAAATAAAAGTTGGATTTAGTTACTTGTGACTACTTAAAACAATCTCTATGATAATTTACAATTCTTAAAAAGCAACATGCCTTAGGTAAAAGAAGAACCCCATAAAATTTGTCCAGGTTTAACTGCTGCTTGTGTTTCATGCAAACCATTGTAAATTCAAGAGGTTCCTCAATCTTCAGTATTTTTACTCATGAATATTCAGTTTTATTACCAAATACTACTTGTGGCACACAGATGCAGAATGTTTTCTAGTTAATATTAAATAGTAGATAAGGTAGGGTGTTCCCTAAAGTGCTAAGTTACTGGTCTCTTTGTCATTTGCCGTTGTTCCTTTTCTGCTATTTCTTGTTGGCGAATTGTATCCTGTGCTGCTTGCTGCATTTTCTCCAGTTTTTCCAAAGTTAGGGATTTTAAGGGTAAGATTCTGGGTTACACAGCACCATTGTGGTTACATCTTCCACAGACAACTGCCCTAAGTTTAATAAGAAATAAGAATTAATTTGGTGACTGGGCACGGTGGCTTCACGGAATCCCAGATACTCAGAAGGCAGAGACTTGGAGGATGTCAGTTTGGGGTCAGCCTGGGCAGAATGTTAGCAAGATCTTATCTCAACCAAGAAGATGGGCATGGTGGCATGCACCTGTCATAACAGCTACTTGGAAGATGTAAATAGGATCACAGCCCAGGCTGGGTAGGGCAAAAGGCTGAAAGTCTATTAAAAACATAACTAAAGCAAAAAGGGCTGGAGGTGTGGCTCAAATGGTAGAGCCCTGAATTCAAACTCAAATACTGCTCCGCCCCCCCCCCAAAAAAAGTTACCCTGTTTGGTTACAGCTAGAATGAAGGTCTAAAAGCTTCATCTCTTCATTGTCCATCAAAAATTCTTTGTTTCTAGACTGACTTTTACTTGGGACCAGAAAAAGCATAGTTTTCTCACAACATTTAATATTGAGGTGTTTGGGCTGGAGGTCTGCGCTCAAGCAGTAGAGCACCTGCCTAGCAGGTGCAAAGTCCTGAATTCTAACCTCAGTACCTCTAAAAAAGCCACAAAACAAAACAAAAAACTAAAAACCTGAAGTGTTAAGGAAGACATTTTGAACTTTCTTTGCAAGATTCTAAGCTACTTTAAGACAATTTTTGTGTCGAATATTTAATTGAAAAAATTTAGAGAATATGCGATATAGAAAGATACAGGAAAGTGATACTAATTTATTCAAATTACTGAATGTTTAAGATAAACCTTCAGCTTTTCTTAACACTTTAGGTTATATTTCCCCCCACTTTTAGACCTTATGGTGAATTCCATTAAGATACTACTTTCACTGAAAATTTCACATTGTAATCTGCATTTTTTGTTACAACAAACATTATTTCAAGCCGGGTGCTGGTGGCTCACACCTGTAATCCTAGCTACTCAGGAGGCAGAGATCAAGGAGGATTGTGGTTCGAAGCCCGCCCAGACAAATAGTTTGAGAGACACTATCTGGAAAAAAACCCCATCACAAAGATAGGGCTGGTAGAGTGGTTCAGGGTATAGGTCCTGAGTTCAAACCCCAGTACTGCAAAAACAAATCATTGCTTCATTTGTCTTTTTACTGGAAAACATGATTCATCCTTTACAACCTACCCAGGAAAATAGTAAAGTGGAGATTAAATGAGGAACATACAACCCGATAGCTGCAGACATTTAGTTTATTAATGTCTGCTATGTTACACTGCCTATCACTTTGTGACCTAAGTGTCTGTGATACAGATACCTTGTTTTGGAAGAACTTCCCGGAACATTGACTTCGCTTCTGCCATATCTGAATTGTTGGATACAGTAAATTTCTCCTTCAAATAAGAAATAAATTATTAATAATTTTAAAAATGAATCCACACAGCGTATTACTTGACATTGCCATTGTAGTTTAAAAAATCAATCCCTGTAGAAATCACAATTCCTACATAATTTTCACATTAATTTCTTAGGATTCTTTTCACTGAAACAAGTTTGAGAGTTTATGTAAGAGACTAGATCTTGTCAGTTCTTACTAAATCTGTGGTGGTGGTAATTGGAATGTTGAGAATTCTTAAGTTTTTTTTTTTTTTTAAACTCTCCTAGGGAAAAACTTGGTAGACCTTGAGTATTTTGGACAAAGATGATTAATATTATCTGAGCAAAAGGCAATTATATACAGCCACCTTGATTCATTGATAGCATCTTCCTTCAATGGAAACACACACACATGGCCACCCGCTATACAGTGAGGTAAGGCAGGTAGTTGGGGAAAAGAATAGTATGCAGATATTTCCTAACACTTCCACTTTTCTCAGTAGTTCATAGCTGTTTTCTACTTTCCGTTCATTGTAACAAAAAAAAGTACTTTAAGGATCACAATGCTTCATTCTGTAAGAAAGCAACACCATAGGTAAATTGGCTTCCAAATAGAAATACGCTTTCAGTTTACCATTTTCCTTTAACAGATACTGTATGCTAGAGGACCAGAATACATCTTCACGAGTATTCTGTTAGGAATATTCCAGCATATATGCCAATGACATTTGCTCTGAGTGTTACATCAGATTATTGCTGAATTTTCAAAAGGTATTCTAGACCAAGTTGTAGAATGATCCTTTTCCAAACAGATGCTTTTTCAGACAGTCCCACCCATTTACTGATGTTTCACTGCACTGATGCAACTTTACCATAGGTCTTTCACAACATCACCACAAAAGAAAGATTTATTATTTGTAAAGTGGTGATGCTGGCTTGGTGCCTGCCTTTTCCACCCACTGCAAGTTAATTATAATCAAGTGAAGCTGCTTCCGGTCTTTGTCATTCTTGCTCCACTACTTTTGACATTCCTAGTTAAAAGCTTTCTACTTGCCATTCTCCAAGCTTCTTCCATTCTCTGTTCAAATTATTCTGAAATGTCCAAGTTCTTGAATCTGTTACCTGCTCTCCAGAATTCCTGTCATCAAACTTTATATGCTCTACCAGGGAGAGAAGACAAGCAGGGATTGGACTAGCAATGAAATGGAAAATGCAGTAAATACACCGTGCAGTTTCCTCAGAATGCACAGCCTTTATCATGTTGGTTCTTTGTTTCTTAGACCTGCCAGTAATACATAATGATCATAGCTTTTTTTTCCTTCCAGGTTAGACTGAAGGCTAATTAATAGTGCAGATTCCCAATTAGCTTTGAATATAGCTACCAGAAACAATGCTGAGCCTCTTTATTAAAGACATCACAATGAAAATAGGTCTGTATTTGGTACAAATTTGACATAACACTAAAAATGAAATGTAAAAGTGAAGTGTAACAGCTAAGTACTTTTAAATGTGTTGCCAAAATGGTGGGAAAACAACACTTAACTGTTTTATAGAATGAGCAACTCATAATTAAATCTCTATCCTTTGTTTTCTCTTAGTCTATTTCTCTTTCACATTCTAAGTCTGGCTTAGGGAAAACAATGAAACTTGGTGCTCTACCAAACCTCAGTTCTCTGACTAAGCTGTCATTGTTAGTGGAAAGGGTGGAGGCCAAAGGACTGGTACAGAGTGGGTTGGGCCTAGTGTGGGGAAGATCAGTGTGCCCTCACTTGCCTCGGTGGTTTCTGCTTTACTAGGGAAGATGCTTGTTCCTAGACCCTTAGGCATGGCAGGAAAGAAACAGGAAGGGAAGGGCTAAAGTAAGCAAGGTTGGATGGCCAGCACTGGCTGGGCTACTGTCTTGGTAATTAGCTTCTCTGGAAGTGCCTTCCCCAGGTGGACTACTCCTAGTCAAACAGGTGTTCTGTATGGTGTGATGTGCTCTAAGAGGTTCTGGCTGCTCCTAAAGTGTACTTAATCAGTGCAGGTGAGATGCATATAAAACCAGGGACAGATGGGTCAAAGGAGAAACATACCAGTTATTGCGGAAACTCCTGTGTATCATACAACTGCCATGGTCATTCAATAAATATATTAGTGCCTACAATGTGCCAGACACTTCATCAGTAAACAAAACAAAAAACTTTTGCCTCCTGGAGTTTATAGACTTGAGTAAGGGGAGAGAAACAATAATACTAGAAGGTAGTTAAGTGCTAGAGAAAAAATAGCTTAAGATTTAGGAAAACTGGAAAAGGATACAATAGGAAAACTGATGATGTCATTTAGGTGGCACTTAAGCAAAGACTGCTTTTGTGCATCAAAAGCCTTGTGTGCACAGTGAAGATACAGGGAAATGGGCACTCTGTTTAAGCTTTTAGAGGGATATTTTGCTGAATCTACTAAAACTAAATGTTTTCTGACTCAAAACATTCTATTTCTAGTCAGCTCTAAAGAAACAATACAAGTGTATAAAGATAAGAATATTCATTAAAGAACTGCATTACTCAGCAATAAATGAACCTACATATTCACCAATAAGTCAAAGATGATAAAATTGTGGAACATCCACAGACGGAATACTATGCCAGAGCAAAAAATGATGCAGATTGCCGAAGCCTTTTTTAAGACAAAACATTAAATCACAGAAGACTATTCTTACACTAATGGAACCCAAACTTTTAATGCTCAGAAAATGCAATGTTAACTCATTAGTGTCTACATTTCTTGGAGCCCTTGGTCTGGGTACTTGGAAAAATGCTCTATTGCTTCCTTTTCTTCCATACTTTCTTAAATTTGTAGTCTCTCCCAGAGATAATAGCTCTAAATGGATAGTACATTTCAAATTATGAGAAGGTATACAAACTTCTTGTAGATATTTGAGCTGGATATATGAAATTAATGCAAACAAACTTGGCCAAATCTTTACTACAAAATATTTTACTTTTTTGGTAATGAGAGTTGAAATACACGTCTAGGAAGGATCAGTATTTTAAAATCAATTGTGTACACTTGCATGAATTAAAAATCTCTGGGTTGATTTAGTTTGACAACCAAACCAGATTTTAGGTGTAGGACCAGACTAGATCACTAGTGTCCCTCTGAACTTTGAGAATGTATACTAATGGTCCTTAAGTTTTCTGTCTGTAGCTGCCTAAAGGCATTTAGAAAAACTACTACGTATCACTACATATTTCTAAATTGACAAATTTTTCACTTAAAATAGTTTAACTTTCCAGAGTATTGAAAAATAGTTTTTAATCTTTAAAGATAGAGTTAATATAATGTAAACATTATAGCAATTTGGTAGCTACTTACTATCATTAATTTAAAAAATGAGCTCTTTTAAGTCAGACATTTTGTATTATCCTTATTCTCCCTAGACCTCTTTATCTTAATTTTCATGTAATGCAACTAATTTTAATCTTTGTCACTTGAGAGATTTTTATCCCCTGGAGCATTTCATCATAGTAAAATTGTATATGGTCTAGAGATGTCTTCCCTTGGTGAAGTCTCAGGTGATTGTGAGAGAGGGAGATGGGAAATGAGATTAAGCAATAGTTTATCCACAGTCTCATTTTCTCAGGAATTTAATTTAAGAGACTAAACATGAAAGTTTAGATCTAGAAATTGATTACCCTTAACTTTGCTTGCCTGCATTTTCTTCTGATTGTCTTTAGGCATACTGAAGGATATGTGAACCCTGGTAAAAATCCCATTGATCTATATGAGAAACCATACTTGTGTTGTTCTTAGAGATGTTAATGGTCTTTCTAAGACAATTTCATAGTTACTAAATTTGAGAAGCCCTGGAAGGAAAAAGTTACTTTTTCTTTTTTAATAGTAGGGCATTTCAGAAACTTCAGCATTCTTACGTGATGAGCCTTTAATAAGAGAACTGAATATATATTGTTTACTAATCTTACTTGGCCTTGGGATCCTTTAAAAGTGTTTTCATGGACTAGTATTCCCTAGAACATACTTTATAAAGAACGTACTTTATATTTTAGAAGCAATGCCTTTTTCAAGGGCATGTGTAATAAGATGCAATAGGTAAAACAAGTATTTAGGAAAATACCAATTTTACAAATAACTAATTTTAAAATTAGTGAAGGCTACATTTTTTGTGAATGTAATTTATTAAGATCAACTTAAGAATGGCTTATCTTCCTTGCCTAGTTATGTGAAAAGTTTAGAACATCTTGGACAAAACTGTCTTTTAAAGGGTCTATTTAAATATGTAAAGAGAAAATCTTCTTGTAAAGTATTTGGCAAAAATGACAGCTATTTTTGTTGCCTATCACAAGGAAATTCTAATATGGGTGCTTCTGTAACTAGTTCAGTATTTTATACCAACATGTTAATAAATGGTTATTTATGGGCTTTATTTCCAATCTCTAATTTTATTACACAACCATCTGTCATTATTAATAGATTAAGAGCAAAATTTAAGTACTCAAGTCCAAGTCATCTTATATTGAGATTGAGTCAAGACCAGAATGACTAAGGCATAGTCTCTAGGTTTGAGAATCTTGGAAAGGGTAGAGAAGAAATAGACACATAAACCACCACAATACAACTTAAGTTCTATACTTAGGAGTCTGTAAAAATGTCATGGGAACACAAATGGGGCACAACTGTATAAGGTAGAGATGATGAAGAATTTCAGGTTCAGGTAACAGTTTTTGCAGTGGTATGAAGACGAACAACCCAAAGCTCAGTGCATTATGGGGACTGAGGGGAAGTGATGCTAAAAAAAAGTCACTATCAGATACTAGTCTAGAAACAATCACAATCCAAATTATAACCAAATTAATTCTAAAGAAAAGAGTATCACTGAAATATCTTAAAGGTAGGAATGACCCAAACAGACCTAGTGCTGAGGACAATTAAAAGGCTCTTTAGATAGTTTAGAAATTAAAATGGATGTTTTAATTTCTGCAACCAGTTACAATCATGAAACTAAGAGAAAGCAAAAGAA